TGATTTTGGGGTGATTTTGGGGTGATTTTGGGGTGATTTTGGGGATGATTTTGGGGCGATTTTGGGGATGATTTTGGGGCGATTTTGGAGTGATTTTGGGGGCGATTTTGGGGTGATTTTGGGGTGATTTTGGAGTGATTTTGGGGCGATTTTGGGATGATTTTGGTGGTGATTTTCGGGTGATTTTGGGGGCAATTTTGGGGCGATTTTGGGATGATTTTGGGGTGATTTTGGGGGCGATTTTGGGGTGATTTTGGTGGTGATTTTGGGGACAATTTGGGGATGATTTTGGGGATGATTTGGGGGCGATTTTGGGATGATTTTGGGGCTACTTTGGGGTGATTTTGAGGGTGATTTTGGGGTAATTTTGGGGTAATTTTGGGGTAATTTTGGGGATGATTTTAGGCCGATTTGGGGCCGATTTCTCCGGATTCTCGCCGGATCTTCGCGGATTTTCTCGGGAATTTCGGGGTCCCGGCCTTGACCCCCCGAATTTTTCCTTCCAGGGCGACTCCGGGGGGCCCCTGGTGTGCGAGGGGCGCCTGCAGGGCATCACCTCCTGGGGGCCAGGGGTCTGCGGGGACCCCCGAAAGCCGGGGGTGTACGTCAACCTGTGCCGCTACAGCCGCTGGCTGCAGGACACCATGGCCCACAACTGACCCAAAACCGGCCGGATTCGCCCCAAAATCGCCTGGATTCGCCCCAAAAACGGCCAAAATCGGCTGCATTCGCCCCAAAATCGCCTGGATTCGCCCCAAAATCGGCCGGATTCGCCCCAAAACTGGCCGGATTCGCCCCAGAAACAGCTGGATTCACCCCAAAAACGGCCAAAATCGGCCGGATTCGCCCCAAAATCAGCTGGATTTGCCCCAAAATCGGCCGGATTCGCCCCAAAAATGGCCAAAATTGGCTGCATTTGCCCCAAAATCAGATGGATTTACCCCAAAAATGGCCGAATTTGCCCAAAAAACCAGCCAAAATCGGCTGGATTCGCCCCAAAATCGGCTGCATTTGCCCCAAAATCGCCTGGATTCGCCCCAAAATCGGCCAGATTTGCCCCAAAATCGGTTGGATTCGCCCCAAAATCGGTTGGATTCGCCCCCAAAACGGCCGGATTTGCCCCAAAAATGGCCAAAATCGGCTGGATTCACCCCAAAACTGGCCGGATTCGCCCCAAAAATGGCCAAAATCGGCTGGATTCGCCCCAAAAACGGCTGAGTTGAACCAAAATCGGCCGGATTCGCCCCAAAACCGGCCGGATTCACCCCAAAAACGGCCAAAATCGGCTGGATTCGCCCCAAAAACGGCCGAGTTCACCCCCAAAATGGCTGAATTTGACCCCAAATCAGCCAAGTTTGCCCAAAATCAGCTGAATTTGACCCAAAATCGGCCAAGTTCAACCCAAAATCAGTCGAGTTTGCCCCAAAACCAGCCAAGTTCACCCCAAAAATGGCCAAATTCCACCCAAAATCGGCTGAGTTCACCCAAAATCAGCTGAATTCAACCCAAAATTGGCTGAGTTCAACCCAAAAATAGCCAATTT